ACACACACACACACACACACACACACACACACACACACACACAGGAACCCTGTACCCAGGTCATAAATATACTAATATAACTAACTTTCTTAGAATTGCAATGTTTTACGTTTTTGCAATGATTTACATCAATAAATGAAGGTAATTCATTAGTAATTGTGGTTAGGATGGTCATTCAGTCATTGTCATTTTAAATACCTGCTGTGGATTTGATGTTGTTTTTCTTACACACTCCTGAGCCTTCACTCTCCATATGTCTGCCAGGTATCTTAATGTAAAGAGGATAAAAACGTTGGCTGGACCATTATGGCGTCTTACTTTGATGAACACGACTGTGAGCCCACCAACCCTGAGGAACAGTATCGGCAGAACGCCCTCCTTGAATTGGCCAGGTGAGTCTGAACACGTCACACTCACAGTGATGCTGTACGTCATTGTTAGTATCCAGGGCTCTGACCCACAGTCGATCTCTATGTTCAGGTCTTTAATGCAGGGCTTAGACTTACTTGACTCAGGAGCGTTCGACTTGTCAGACTGGGATCAACGCCTTCCCCCTCCAGCTGCCAAGACCGCTGTTCAGACCCTCACCGTGGTCGTCATTTCTCCAGAGCAAGCAGGTGACAGACACGCACTCCAGTGGAATTAATGTGTTTGACATTCAGGTTTATTACCCAAAGTGGAAGAAAGTTATGCTAACAGAGACAGATATCAGGCCTGAGGGAATGCTAAAGATATAGTTTGTATTTGAGAATATTTTTTTATATTTTTTTCCCCTCAGAGCAAGGGTAGTTTTCAAGTCTCTTCTCGATTAATAATATTTTAGGGATTTAATCAAGCTTCTTTAATTTCTCACAGACAAAGGACTGAAGTGTCCAGTTTGTTTGCTGGAGTTTGAGGAACAAGAAACAGTTCGAGAAATGCCCTGCAAACACCTTTTCCACGCAGGATGTATACTGCCCTGGCTGGGCAAGGTAAAGCATGTGAATTTATTATTCACATTTTGCATCAGATATTCTACAGAAACGTGACAGTACCCAGTGCTCTGCTCTTTTTGTGTGTTTTAAAATCGTAGACTAACTCCTGTCCGCTCTGTCGACTTGAATTACCAACTGACAATCCAGAGTATGAGGAGTTTAAAAAAGACAAGGTGAGTGGTTATTGGTGCAACTGATCCCCCTCTAGAGACCTGTGTCAGTACTGAACCGATTTCATTCTGTCCTGTAGGAGAGGAGGAAACAGAGGGAACACAGGCTGGAGGACCTACACGGAGCCATGTACACATGACAACACGATGCTGTGGTGCAAGTTTGTAGCACAGTGATGTTTTACAGAAAATTATAAAAAAGAAAAATTAGATAGCTTCAGGAAACACACAATGCTGCATTCATGCCATTTC